GATTTGATGTGCGTATGGGTTAAGTGCCGCCTGAGTGTTTCAGTTTGCCAGTTTGATCGGCCAGTTCATTTTTCTCGCGCATTATGGAATAGCGAAGATTTTTGCCTGGAATATGAAAGAATAGAAGAGAATAAGCTTGCCTTTAGATATTCCTTAAATAGTCCAGCTTCTGTTCTATCAGTATACCAGGTTAATCGAAAGTTTAGTTAAAATACACACTAAACGTTTTAAGATATATGAATGAAATGTCCTCATTTCAGTTCTTCTTGATCAATTTCTTGAATGTCCGATTTTTCTAGAATGAAATTGCCTTATATTACACGTTTTAATTAATATTTTCATCTCACTCAATTTCTTAGAAGTATACAAGAAATTTACTGTTATTACAGTGCCTTGACAATAATTATGTCAGCTATAAATTATACTTAATTTTTTTCTTTAAATGAAGAGCGTCATATTTATAACCTAGTTATTTGTTTACTACAGATTGCGCTCAAACGTAAACAGTCATTCAGAGGTAATTTTATAGCTAGCTTATAGTGTTGCTAGCATCAGTTTTGAGTATTTTGTGGTTTAGTTTGCCACAGTAAAATTAGGACAGGAAAGTTGTTATTCGCTAAATGAATCTAATAAAATTTAATATTCGAAAGACTTATAAAATTACCTGTTCTACATGTTCATCCATACATGTGCACCTGGCTCATTAGAACATTTTTGATATTTAATTTAGTTTCAAATATGAATGTTTCAAGTTACGGCTACACTTCCAAGTGCAGTTCCTTTGAAAAATATTTTCACTTTCTGGCAGTGTTGCCAGAATTGAAGTATTTCCTTCAATACGGAGGATTTTACAGTCAAACTTTGTCGATTGAAAGGGTAAAGGATTTTTATCGAAAAAGAAGGCAATATGAAGGCTTCTGGCAGTTTTGCACAATAAAAATTGTTAAAATAGGTAGTAGGAGTATTATTTGTTGTTTTTCCTACATCTATTTTTTACTTTAACGGTGTTTTAATTAAAAATGCCTCAGTTTAATGAAATGTTGCTGTCAAAAAGTCCGCAATTCAAAATTTTTTTTAAAATTTAACAAAAAAGTAATAGATTCATTTTTATCTTTTGACATGTCTTATTACACACCTACCATAAATAAACCAAAATTCTTGATGTTGAAAAGAAATAAATAGGTAAACGGAAAACATATCTAATAAATTAGCTGATCATGGCGTCTAGCACGATTTATTTTTCTCGATTCAAGCAGTCATTGTAAAGAATTATTTTTTTTCCATAGCAACTGTTAAAATTGCCTTCTATCTATCAAAAATGGTAGATAAAATAGTATTTTAACAGCGAGGATAGGTTAAGAATTTTATTTCTTCTCGCACGTTTTTTAATTGCTTCGATTTTTGAAAATTCTTGTATTTATTCTTTTTCATAAGTTATTCGGGATTTAAATGGAAGTAGTTTGGATATGGCGTTCGTCGCCTCAGCCTGAATATCTGTTGGTAATTTACTTATTTCGTTTTGAGTCATTTCTGGCTCCAATTCAATCAGCAATCGACACGAAAGAGAATTAAAAAATATTGACTCAAAACTCACAACTAAAGAGACAGTTTTATTTATTTATCAAATTATCATAGAAACCAACGCCAACCCAGCACAATATTTTTCCTACTCGTAATAAATTCCTTGAAATAATAATTTCTAAATATTTTTTAAACGTAACTCGCTAGGGAAAAAATATTGTTTTATACACGACGATAAAATTGCATTATCGTCTCCCGAAATTAAGTACCTAGGTACCATTTTATCATCTTGTATAAAAAATAACTATAAAATTTTCTGATATTTACACAATAGGTACAATATATGAAACATGAAATTTGTTGATTTTTCACAAGATCAGGATTTTTTTTTGTAAAGTTGAAAGAATATGAAGGATTTTTAAGACTCGTTGAATAAATTTGGCCGAAAATTTCTGGCAATACTGCTTTCTGGCCCTTATTTTTCACATTCTTGTACAGATTTACACGGAAGATACGATTTATATTCCTCATTTTGCATTCTACATGAAATTCTGAACACATTTTTGTATAATGCCTTAAAGGTTGGATCGTTTTTGAAGTATGTTATTTTAATTTCATGTTAAAAATGATATTCACAGAAGGAAATACAATTAAGAATTTTTCTATTTCCTAGAGAAGCTAAACAATTAGGCAAAGAAAATACAGTCCTTCTACTCTGGGTACCAGACCACCAAGGAATATTAGGTAATGATAAAGCAATCGATGTAACTAGAGAAGGAGCGAACACGCCAATAACTGAATCAGAACCGTTCTGCTTCTCAAATGGAAGCCAACTTATAGCGAATCTCAAGAACATTGCTCCATCCGTAACTTGGACTGGAAATCATCTAACGGTCTAAGACAGACCAAGACATTTCTCAGGACTTGAGTTGTTGAGTTAGATTAAGAGTGGGTTCCAGGTGGGACCCTCTACTGTGGCTGCAAGGGCCTATTGATAGGCGAAGATAGCAAGGCTCTCTACCTTGCTATCTTCGTTTGGACTATAAAGTACTCATGAGTGACTGATATGACTGACATGAGTATTCAGTAACTCATTTTCATTTAGCTCAAAAAATATCTTTAGTATCCTTTCTGATATAATTTTCGTAGATATTTTCTCTCTCTATTCCTAATAATACATCCCACTCCTGCTTATGCTTGTTGCAACCAAGAAGTGGGAACCAACTTAAAGTGGAACTCAAAAACCTGGAAGACTTCATCCGTAACCTGGAATGGAAATGGGGTTTTAACACTCGAAGAAATTTCTCAGAACTTACAACCGACAAAAATCAAAGATTTTCCTTGATTAAGTAAGAACAATCTTTGGATTGTCAGGGGGTTTTCAACAGGACACTGACTCTTAAATGAACACCCTGGTAAATTGAAGTTAAAAAACAACGGCGAATGCAGATTCTGTAGTGAAGATGGGGAAACACCAGAAAACCTCATCACTGAGTGCGCCGTGAAGACAACCATTCGTGCCATAACCTTTGGTACACTGTAGTGCGATGTTTTAGTTTGGTAATATTTTTCTAATAGTAAAATGTGATTTCCCCTAATGTTTCATATTTAGCCAAGGCCAATTTGTTTATGAACAAAGAGACGTTGAGAAGGGTTATATATTTCAGTGGATTATAAATACAAGGACATTTAGGAAATTATCTTTTTTTTATTTGTGTTCTTCTTATTTGGAAACTCGCACTTTATTCAGAAAATTGCTGGCTAAAGATGATTACGAATTCCAAATTTTGATGGATTGATGCAACATACTTCAACGGATATTGAAAAGTTCCCCGATTTACAATTGACCGAAGAAGAAATACCCGAAAACGAATTGCAATTTTCTGAAATAAAAGTTTCCGGAAACGGCGATCTTTGGTACAAGATTGCTCTAAAACAGGACATTTCAATACATTTAATTTTTAAATGTCCTGTTTTTTTAATTTTCATGTAACTTTCTGGTCTGGTAATTTTTTGGGGGGGGGGAAAATATCTTTTCGGGCAATTTTCCATTAGGGCAATCTTCCTTTCGGTAAAATTTCCTTCGGTCATTTGTTTACGAGCAATTTTCCGGATAGGTATTGTTACTATAGTCTGTTTTTTTTCTCAGGTAAGATTTCCACAGACGATGACAGAAGAAAAGCAGATGACGTACCATGCCAATCTATTTATTTTACTGAAAAAAGTTTCTAATATTCTTTAAGTTAACAATGGATGGGTTTAAATCTAAATCCGTCATGCGTCGTCTCTTGTTGTTTTTAACCAGTTTTATTGGTTTATTTCAAAAATGACAGATCATATTTTATTGGTTTGACGGAAAGATGAACGACAAACGGACGCGGATGCGTATGAACTTGCCTTTAGATTTTTGAGGCTTGTCAAAGTCTTGCCAAATTATAGGTTACAATTTTGTGTCAACTTATGTATAAAAATATTAAATACCCTGCGTTTTGGGAAATGATGCATTTTTACCAAAATTTGGTAAGTGTTATTAATAAAATAGTTTGTTTTATTTATGTTTTATGTTTTTTTTAATTATTCCTGTGGAATATTACAAATTTGTATTTGTACATAAGTTATATTGATAAATAATATGCTGGATAATAAATGCGGGAAGTCTCTTGAAGCTTGAAAGTAAGAAATAGTTCTTTTTTACAGTTTTTTGGTATGTGGTGTTTTGTTCTTGTTTGTTTTGTATTAACACATACCATTTTTTTAAGTAAACAAGTGATTACTTCAAAATATTATGAAAAACTGTATAAAACTGAAAAAATGTAATCGAGTTAATTACATTTTTTCAGTTTTATACAGTTTTTCATAATATTTTGAAGTAATCACTTGTTAGTCAAATTTTAAATATATTAATTTTCTGCTATGCGTTTCAATTGTACCAACTTATTTCTTTGTAAATTAAAATAAAATACTTTGAAATTAAAATGACAGACACATCTATCACTGTCAAGGATCTTGTTGTTGGACAGACTATACAATAATTATATTTCGGAGTACCTATACCAAGATAGTAAAATATCATTTTCACTAACTACAGCTTCCATATGACGGTTTTCATTACAATTTTTGCAACTTAATAACTGGAGCGAAAGCGTGATCGAATAAACAGAATTAACATGAATATTCTCCCATTAGATTTTCTCTCATATACGAAAATTCCAACCCGTATGAAAAACGGCGGAAATGACAAAAAACCAAACCGAAGGAGGTTTCGAGGCTGAATGAAATTTCACGCCAGCGTTTTTCATCAGTGTAAAATATGAGAATATAACAAGACAGACGGACGGCGATCTCGTTTAACCCACTGTAACGATTCTATTTAACTCCACTTTAGAACCAGTCCGGTACCACCATCCTAGTCTCGATCGGGTCGTTTGAAAAATATAGGTACCCTCCGCTCCTCCCTTACGATAAAACGGTGACGAGCCGCCGTTTGGGCCGCAGTAGTACCGCGCCACAGCTTCGCCATGGGCACTACCATCATCAGCTTTTCGAGATTTATCCTGTCGGTGTCGTTGTTCTTCTTCTTGGTGGTTGGTAGTGCTAGGACGGTGGTTCGGGGTGAAGAAGACGACGGTTCCAAAGAGGAGTTAAGGATATACAAGGCTGCGTTCGAGTTTTTGCACGAATGCGGCAAAAAGGAGTTTTCGTTGTGCTTGAAGGTGAGTGCCGAAAAGAAGGACTGTGAGCTTAAAATTGTATAGTCTGACCAACGATAAGATCCTGGACAGTGATAGATGTAACTGCTATTTCCATTTTCAAAGCTGCCTATTTGGCTCTTACATAGAAATAAGTGGGTACAATTGGAACACACATAGCAGAAAAATTAATATATAGTCTGGTCCAACGACAAGATCCTTTGACAGTGATAGATGTGTTTATTACCTTTAATTTCAGTAGTTTATTTTATTTTACAAAGAAATAAGTTGGTACAACCAACGTATATAAAGGAAATTAATATATTTAAAAATCTGGACTGACAAGTATTACTTCAAAACATTGTGAAAAAAAACTGTATAAAACTGGAAAAATGTAATCGATTTAATTTAATAAAAAAACGGTATGTGTTAATAATAACAAACAAGAACAAGCACCATATACCAAAAAACATAAAAAATACAATTATTACCACTATCAAGCTTCAAGAAACTTCTCGCATATTATATTTAACAATAACCTTCATAAAAAACTTAACAAAAAAAAAAAAAATATTATTATCTCTTTATCAATATAATATATGCACAAAATACAAATTTGTAATATTCCACAGGAATAAATAAAACAACATAAATAAAAAAAAAAAAAATTATTTTATTAATAATAACACTTACCAAATCTTATGCCTTAAAGATTGATTAATTAACTTTAATTCTATTTTCCTTAAACCAGTACCCTTTGACATTATTTTTCAGAAAATTAAAAATTTTTTTTATTTTATTATTTACCTATCGTGATGTCGATATTTTACAGCTACTTCCAGTAGTATAAAATGGATGTCGATATACAAAGACATCTCTGTTTTTGTTTACTAGGCATTGAAATTTTAACGATTATCGTTTCACGATATAGATTTTTGTAACGTATCGTCTTATATTTGTAAAAAATGTCTATACCTATGTGTATTAATCTATACTATCCAAAACTTTTGGGTATTTCGCCACTGCACTGCTAGAAAAATCTACAAAATAAAAGGCCAGTTATTTTTGTAAACACTAGCGTTAAACCAGTTGTAGAAAAGAAGTTGTGTTTACAGTTATGTAAATTTGTCTAACAAAGAAAAAATAATTCTTAACGTTTCGGAGAGTTTTCTCTTTCCGTCGTCGGTAAAAAATATGAAGAATCAAGAAAAACCATTTAAAATATTTTAAATCTGAAACGATTCGAGAACATCACTTTTAAACAGAGATACGTCTAAGAAATCGTTGACGTTCTGTTAAAATGACATTATATAAAACACAATGTCACCTGATAACAATTATTATTACTTAATAAGGTAAAACCAAAAGTTCCAACCTCTGTATGATTATTTTTAAATCTTTTACGTTTATGTTTATTTCATGTTATGTTCTTTAAAATCAAAGAAGGAATTGCCATACATTACTAACATCTGCAAATGCATGAGCAATACATACAAACCCCAAATCATAGACACAATGATACCAATACACAATATATACAACTTTTTTTTTTTTTTTTTTTTTTTTTTTTTCGGAAAAATAAGAAGGATAGGAAACAATATAACATACCAACATCTTTCAAACCCAACGTAAAATACACTTAGATCCATTTTATCACATACCAAACCAATAAATAAATACACAGAACAACAAACAAAAAATGTAATATACCAAAACCCTGTGAATGCGATAAATTTAACATTGGTGAAACATCTAGACCCTTAAATGTTAGAATTAAAGAACATAAAGACTATTTAAGAAAGGGAGATTTCACAAATCTAAGATTTCTCAGCATTCATGGGACACACAGGGCACAGAATAAATTTTAATAACGCCAAAATTATAATGAAAGAAGCGATAGTCCTAAAAAAATAAAAGAGCTTTTATCACAATCTAATAAAAATAAATGTATTGCTCATGCATCTAGATGTTAGTAATGCATGGCAATCGCTTCATTGATTTTAAAGAACATAACATAAACAAACATAACATACGTAAAATTTAAAAAAATAATCATACAGAAAGTTTCAAGCTTTTTGGTTTTACCTAGTAATTGTTATCAGGTAGTAATTGTTAATTTTGAAGTTTAACTAAAAAATATATAAAAAAAACATTTTAACAGAACGTCAACTATTTCTTGTAGACGTATCTGCTCGGGGTAAAAAAGTAAAGTATTCCTCGAATAGTTCAATTTGGCCTAAATAGTTTTTTTCCTTGATTCTTTATATTTTTCTTACTTCCGACGACGGAAAGAGAAAAACTTTCCGAAACGTTAAGAACTTTTTTCGGCAAATTTTATAATTCCAAACCTATTGACAAGCAGTGTCCGTTTAGGTTTATCGCATAGCGTTACAAAAAATAACTATTTTATTTTGTATTACTTTTCTTTGCAGCAGTGGGAAATACCCATAAAGGATTCTTTTGATAGTCTGATATTTGTTACTGTAAATGTCCGAAATGCTGTAAAACCTAGGATAAGCGCGGTAAACCTATAGGATTTACCAAAAGCATTAACTAGTTAAGTTTACCTGGTTATTTAGAGAGTGTTAATACTATATTGGCCCATATTTGATGGTGTTAATGACTGGTTAGCCCCGTTTATTAAAGGTGTTAATGCATTGGTTAGTTGGTTATTTGAAGGGTGTTAATGCGTTGGTTAGCCCATATTTAGGTGTTAATGCATTGGTTAGGTGGTTATTTAATGGGGTTGGTTGGTTTTACTACCACTCTGTTTATTCGTACTTTACCAATGCGGTGTGGTAAATCTTAAGATTTACTGTTTGGGTCCGTTTGGAAAAAGTCCAAAATGGAAGCAAAATAAATAGTTTTCGGCCTTTTACCACATGTTTTTGGTAAAACCTAGGTTTAGCGCGCTTGTCCTAGGTTTCACCGCATTTCGACATTTAAGAAAGAAGACATATGATTTTATTTTGGCTAAATGTGCAAAGTCCAGAAACAAAACTTCGGGTTTGGCATCTAGTACCACCATCCTATAAAGGGAAAAAGTGACATTAATGATGTGGCATTTCTATTTTAAATGACAACCAAAGCTAAGAAACAATAAAAACGATTCGAATATTAGTTTAATAAAAAATATAGGTTAAGTTACGTGCACGTAATACATTTTGACATTAAAACGCATTAAGATATTATAAACTATTCTAAAAAATTACATGTAAGAGGGTATCCACTATACAATAATATACATTTGAGCCATCACTGGTCCTACTAGAAACGTCTCGTCCGAGAAAAAGTACTCTTTGGGGGTCCGGTAATCTCTAAAGTTAGGAAATATGGGCCCTAAAGCGTTCAATATCGATCAGCGGATATAATGTCACTAAATCTAGTGTATAATCATACAGGGTGAGTCTTTAAGTACAAATATTTTAGGGGTAGTATATTTCGACCCCAGAAACACGATTCTGTGGTTTTTCATGAAAAGAAAAAAAAATTGTTTAAATTATTTTATTTCCTTAAGGTTAAAAAACATAATGTGATACACATGGCAACATAAGTATCTAAATAAAATACTACTCCAGAATATTTGTAAGAAAAGAGTTTTATAAATCTTCTAACGCATTGTGCCTTTTACTATACTTTACGAATTTTTTTGGAAAATAAAACAATAATTCACCAGAATACACCAAGACGTTTTGCCAAACCATTCCATAGTCACACCCCCTTGTTTGTTATGACTTATCCGAGTTAACTGGATCTCATGAATCTTCGTGATATTATAGTATCATGTTCTATACTAATCTTATTTTTTTGAGTCTTATCATTATTTGAACCAGTTCTTCTGGTAAAAAAAGAATTAATAAACGCCTACATCGAAGAATTCGTTGGAGACGAAGCATATACAGGTGGTCCGACCGTATTCCGGAAACTTCGGTGGCATATTCTGCAGGTGATTAAATTGGCAAAATGTTCGTATAGATGTATGTCAAAAAATGCTTAGTTTCGAGACTTTTTCAAAATAATGAAAAAAAAAAAAAAAATATATGTATTAAAATTAGCGTCTGGGAGTTTCTTGACACAGAATTTTTTTGATCTACATTTTTTGTGAACTGGCTTGAAAGAGTAATAACTTTTTCGTCCGTACCTGTATAAAACTACTGAGTAAAAATATTTCATTTACGCACGCTTTTTGCATGCAAAAAGTCTCTCTTCTTAAAAAATCGTTACTGAGTAATGTGATTTTCTAGATATTTGGAATCGAAATTATCAATACCCAATAATACTCGGGATAAACAACATGTTGACTAAATAGTTGCCATACTATATTCGCGCAACGAAATATTATTGTACCAAAAATTCAACAAAACCAGTTTTATCATCATTCTTTGCAGAAAATATGATTACAATTTTAAAAAAATAAAAATTTCACAAATTTATTATTTGTGCTGAAATAACTATCTAATTAACATGTTTAATTTTCGTCAATAATGGCATGTATTCACTATTTCCACTCTAGATATCTTGAAAACCGTTGTTTCCAAGTGGTTTTTACAAAGAGATATTTTTACGTAAAAATCACAGAGATGTACATTTTTTCCTCGGTAGTTTTATTAGGTGGTACGGACAAAAAAGTTATTACGTCAAAACAGTTAAACATTACGTGGTGGCGCCCTCTACTAGTAGGGAGTCATATTGACATCAGAATCAAATTTCTCAGTCAAAAGTCTCTAGACACCAATTTTCCAAATATTGACGTTACTTCAGAAATTATTATTTAGAAAAAATCGAAATAAAAATGAAACTTTCTACACCCTGTATCTCCGAAACTGGGCATTTTAGGACATACATTTATACGAATTTTTTACCTATTTTATCTCCGTAGAATATACGCCGAAGTTTCCGGAATACACCGGACCAATTCCTGTTCACATGTCTCAGTTTTAAAACCAAATTCATATACCAGTTTTAAACGTTCACTAAATACCGAGAACACTGATGTTTTTGGATCAAAAATGCTTAAAGGTCCA